TTTGACCTCCCCGCTCCCCCCTTTTGGGTTTCTGTGTTCCCAGTCTTTTATTGCAACGACCCTTATAATGTCCCATTCCTTGGCATTGAACAGTGACCTCATAATAGTGCTAATATCATCATAGTGCTAATATCATCATACGAGTAAATGCTGTTCCCCAAAAATTCATCCAGTTGCTCCGCCACCCCCAACGGATCATCCATGATCTTTCCCATTTCCTTTTTGAATGCCCATACATCCCCTGAATTTCTTGGCACATTTACATAACCAATGACCCCTGGAGCAGTCAGAACTTCCCTGAGAGGAAAGAGACCCTGTTGTCCCTCCTCGTCCTCGCTATCGTCCATGTACACCTTCCGAGTCCTGCGTCTCGTACGGCTGGACGCTGGGGACTCTTTACCTGCAGATGTGTGTGTGTGTGTGTCGCGTTTTCTTCCGGTTGTGTAAGAGGGGGAAGGGAAGGGGTTTGTTCTGGTGGGGAGGGCATCTCCGAAGCTTGCTCCTGTAGATGCGTGACTTCAGGTGGAAGTGCCTGCAGCATTGCCTGTTGGTGTCCACAGTTTGAGGGTTTGGGGAGAGGACCTTGCACTTGAGGGTTCGGGTAAGGGAGAGGAAGGTTTTCCAGGGGCTTCCAAGTTCTTACTGGATCTTTAGGCTGCTTGCAAGTTCTGACAGGGAATAATCCGATACTGGCATATTCCCATAACCGAGCATGTTCCATCTCCTCTTCTGTCGACCCCTCCTCCTCAAGCACAAATTCGCCTAATGCTCGACATATTTCTGTTAAATGACCCAAACATAGACCAAAATAGATATTTCCTGATCTCCACATCTGCCCACTTTTCCATACAATAATAAATTACTTTTTCGTTAGATTTTCTCCTCCTCATAAAGCAATCCTCCCAATGTTCTAGCATCCACCCCAGAGGACTGTTCCTCGGTACGTTGGGAACACAATATTTTTCCCTTTTCCCTGGTTTTTCTGGGGTTTTTCCCTGGAGTTTACTCTTTTTCAAGCCCATGTACTTTTAACTTTACTTACCTTTTCTTTGGTGAATTTAGTCAAAAGCAGGCCTATTTCCTGGTTTTTATGGGTGCACCCTGTTTTTGGCTCTCAATCACAATATGCCACAAAAAATGAAACTTTTGCCGACCTACTAATTGTGCAGGGAACCAATCTGCAGATTTTTAGTTGACAAAAAAAAGAAGAGCTCTCTTACCTATCCTTCGATCCAGCGAGGTCTCATGGTCCTTGGTTGTTGATGGATTCCCGTTCCCTTCTGATCCAGCCCGTGATCGATAAAACAACCCTCTTCCCTTCCCAATTTCCCGGGGGTTTTGGGCTGGTGTGTGTGCTTTCTAACAAGTTTTTCACCCGCTTCCCCTGCAACTGACCACTTTCCTCACGGAAGAGTGGTACTGCGATCTTGGGATCCACACTCGCTTTGTGATAGTATCACGTCTCGTACACACACTTGATGACTCCCTACTCAACCACACGATACAAACAGTTTGTTATCCTGTGTGGAGTCTTTCAACTTGTTTTGACTCTAAAACCTTAAAAAAAAATAGATAACTTTTTACTCATAACAAAGTGATACCTTAAAGAACCTAGAAACAAAACAACACACTTTCCACATAATGTTAGTATAGGAGGTAATATTAAGGCTGATCTTTATTGGAGGCCTCCAGTGGCAGATATGGCAGATCACCATAGAATTCCTCCCCTTCGTGGGGTGAATACAGTTTTATAAGCTTAATAAATTAGCATATTTGACAAAAATCACCAATTAGGACCACATGGTGAAGTAATTCCTCCCTCGATTCAACAGTCTCTAATTCCTCCCCCAAACAGATGGAAACTAAATTTTGTTTATGAAAATGTATCTCAAAGAGCTGTTTCTAGCCTTGGTTCCCATGAAGAACCAATATAGGTTAAGGGGCCTTATACTCTCCAGGGCTTGGAGCTCTGACATATGTTTTCTCTTTCTGCTTAGAGAAAAGGTAGGGAAAAGTACTGGAAAAACTAGCCACAGATATAACAACAGGCTGCAGAGTTACAAATATATGTGTAAAGAACACAGAGAATATATGAAAGAAAAAAGGCAAAAATCAATCTGGCATCTCCAGGGCAATGGTGTCCTGTCTCACAGCAGGTGGCACTCCTCCCTTTGTGTTAATCAAGATGGGCTGTGCTGAGAACAACCACCCCACATCTGTACTGATCCTTGCCACCCTGGCATAAGCTTCTTCAAATATTTCTTGAGGTACATTTCAGGGGCTGCCTGGTCACTAAAGACACTGAGTGAAAGAGTGTCACTCAGGGCTGGGGATGGCCGTTACCCTGTCCAGTGAGCAGACCAGCTTGGTGTCGCCCAATCATCCTGGAAGAACCTTATTGCACTCTCTTGGCAAAATTCTGCTGCCCAAACAATTTCTCCCAGTTCTGCGCAACCTCAGCCACAGACATTTCCTCACCTAGACCAGGGATATTTCCCATCACATCAAACACCTCGAGGCATGTGAAAGCCCTTTCTGAAGGAGTCCCTCATGAAGGGACTTCCACCCCCTTCTGTGTGTGCCCAGGGACCCTAGCACCCATTGTGTGGCATGAGGGACACAAGGCTCTCCCTGTGCCTGTCTCCAAAAGCCTTTGAACAGAGACTTGAGTGTCCTAGCAGAGACTGAGGGCCCCCCACCTCGCACCTTACAGGGGCCTCCACAACTCCTCTGTGGCCGTCTTATGCTGATCGTGCTGTGCATGCCTTCTCCACCCTCTACCAGTGATTTCACCAAATCTGCACCAAATGCCACAATAATAGAAAGGCTCAAATTCACCCTTATAATTTACACAGAATCTGCACACGAAATTTTAACACTCCCCATTCGGCTCCTTCCTGCTCTAAAGATCCCAGGTGAACTCAGCAGTACCTGCTCTGAAAGACAGAGGCTCCAGCAGTACTGCCCTTGGGCTGCCAAAGTACTGAGGAAACTCCCCTGTGTGACCATTTTGGAAATGCAGGTGGCTCCAATGAGCCGATGGTTGTCCTGTTTGATTCCCTACCCACGCCACTCTCACCCAGTCAGAGCAGTCTTCCATACCCATCCAGCCTCAGGATTCCCCCAGCAGACTCACAGAAGTCACATTCCATAAACAGCCCCTGGCTCCTGCTGCAACGCTGTGTTCTTTCAAATCCCTGGCCAGTGCCACAGCTCCCTGTGCTCTCTGTTATGCAAAGTGTGGGCAGTTCACAGCCTCTGGTCCCAGGCTCCTGCCAGCCAGAGCTCAATCTGCAGCTGGCGCTGCAGCTGCACACCCAGCTCCCTGCCCCAAAGGGATTCCTCAGCTGCTGCCTGCCCTAGGGACTGCAGAGCCTCATCCTGCAAGAAGAGGGCCCTAAAGAAAGCAGCAGAAAACCTTCTTACAAGGGCAGGTTCTCACAGGACAAGGGCCAATGGCTTTACAGTGACAGAGAATAGCTTCAGCTGAGATCATATGAAGGAATTCTTGACTGTGAGGCTGCTGAGATACAGGCATTTCAGAGCAGCTGTGGATGCCTGTTTTTCATGTAGGCAGGGTCAGCACAGAAGACACAGACACCAACTGCAGGAATAAATGTAATTTACTATAATTTGAAACTACAAAAAATTGCAAATGGATAAGTAAAGAGGACATCAAATCATTAGCAAATATTTACAAAAGGGTAAGATAGGCAATGCATCTAATCGTAATTATAAAAGACGTCCTACATTGAGGAAGAAAGACACATCACAAGTTACCCGAATCCTTTACCATCACCCCGGCCTGCCCATCAGCTCAGGGAAGTCATTTTCATGGCAAAGGACAGGGGAACCACTGACAGCAACTGGGAAATCCTGCAGGTGCCTTCCCCTACAGGCAGTGAGATTTCTGACTGGGCTGTGAGAGGTTTTTATACTGTGGCATAAGCAAGATACCAAAACTACTTCTGCAGTAAAATCTGGCTTCATTTTCCTAATGGTATGCTCCCAAGGCCTGGGAGGGCTCCAGGAGAAACCAACAGATTTGTCTGTGATCCCACACCCAAAAAAAAATGCCAGATGTGGCCTTGTCCAGTTCCTAAGTATGGAAAGGTAAATCCATGTTTCTCGACTTAGTGGATATAGATAACATTTGTTTTAAAGGTCCATATAGTGGCCAATTTTGGCTAAAGGCCTCTTCTTCAGGCCTTAGTCAGGACCTGTTCATCAGGACTTAGTACTTCAATGCCCCATCCCTCAAAGCATTCAAGGACAGCTTCTGGGTCAAGATGTGTACACTGTGGACAGCTGGGTCTAGTGCAAACCATCGCACCATGCCCAAGGCAAGGGGGTCAGAGCTAGATGATCACCAAGGTCCGAGCCAACCCAAACCATTCACTGGTTTCTCATATAGTTCTGTGGACCCTGTGCCACAGAACTCTGCAGTACCCAGAACATGGAACCCACCCCTCTGTGACATCAGCCCCAGGACCAAGGGCACCACGGCTGCTGTGGTCACTACGGCTGTGGCTGTGTTGCTGCACGGAGCCCTCAGTGCTTGCAGCTGACACATGCCTCTGGCAGCCATGAATTGCTTTGGCCTCCTCATCCTGCTGACCATGGCTGGACTGGCACACGGGACATGGGACAACTGCGGGTAAGTGGGCCCAGGCCCTGGGGGGGAGCCACTGCAGCACCTGCGGCCTTCCCTGGAGGGGTCCCGCCTTTCCTCCATGGCCGGACCACAGCTTCCCACCCCACACAGGGAGCCTCAGCTCCTTGCCAGCAACCAGGTGCTGGCACGGACAGACGCGCACGCCTTGGGCTTCCCTGGCCTGCTGTGCGTGCAAGGCCTTGTGGGGAGGGCAGAGGGTTGAGCTTCAGCCTGAGCCACAGCAGGCCATGAAGCAGCATGGAAATCACTTATTGCTTGCAGAGGGACCTGCGGACTCCGAGCCGTGGTGTCTGACTACGGCCTCATGACGTACTACTATGGTGACATGGCTTACGACTCCGGCATGACACGCATCGTGGGTGGCACCGGTGCCCTGCCAGGGGCCTGGCCCTGGATCGTCAGCATCCATCACCCCTGGGTACCAGACCCAGGGCATTGGTGTGGAGGGTCACTCATCAGCACACAGTGGGTCCTCACAGCAGCCCACTGCTTCGACAAGTTTGAGTAAGGAGGAGCAAGCAATTGGGACATCCCCACAATCCCAGCAGTTGCCCTGTCAGCAGCATCACCTGCTACTCCCATTCCCTTTCCTCTCAGGCAGCCAGGCTGCCACACTGCTCAGGAGAAGCCTGGGCTTTTGCCAAGGCTTCCTAGCAGCTTCCAGCTTGATATTCCCCCAGCCTAAGTTGTGTGAGGGCACTCATTCCTGCCAGAGCATTGCTCCCTCTCTGCCTTTCCAAGCCAAGGTCTGGCAATTGCGGGGCTGCTGTGGCACATGGTTCTCTCTCCATCTCCTTTCCAGTAACATCAGCCTGCTGTACGTGATGATTGGGGCCACCCAGTTGACTCAGCCAGGCCATGGGGCACAAATGCGCAGTGTCAAACAGGTGCTGATTCACGAGTACTACAATCCTGCTGACATGAGCTACGACATCGCCCTGCTGGAACTGGACCATCCTGTCCAGTGCAGCCCCTACATCCAGCTGGCCTGTGTGGCTGACCCCACCCTAAGAGTCTCAGAGCTGCAGAACTGCTGGGTGGCTGGCTGGGGTGCCACTGCTGCAAGATGTGAGTTTCAAGAGTGACTTCTGGGCCAGCTCAGCACACTGGGGAGAGGGTTTGGGCTTCCCCACAGCAGAGGCCAAAGCCAGTCTTCAGGATGTACACTCCTGCAGAGATGGGCCTGGCCTGTTCCCCAGAGCCTGGCACTAGGGTCACAACACCCCAGTGCCTCTGCAGAGGCAAAGCCATGCCCTACAGAAGAGAATACCCTTCCCAAGTAAGGAGAGGAGAATGGGCAATGTGGTGCTCAGGGTTTATTCCTTTCTCTGCTCACAGCTCAACAATCAAGTGATCACCTGCAGGAGGCCAAGGTCCAGCTCATCGATGTCCAGCTCTGCAACAGCAGCCGCTGGTATGCGGGGGAAATCCACACCCACAACTTGTGTGCTGGTTACCCACAGGGCCTCATCGACACCTGCCAGGTAGGAGTGTGCCACAAGCCACTCAGCCCCCAACAGCACTGGCAGCCAGGGCAGCACCACCCCAACACAGCCCAGGGCTTGCTTTGCCCGGCCACTCAGTCGCCCTTCCAGCCCCAGCTCGCCCCCCGACTGCTCTGGGGGCTTCCCACACACTCCCCATCCACACCTGCCTGCCCAGGACTCCCCTTGTGCCAAAAGCCCAGAAAGTCCAGCTAGTGCTCTTGGCAGCACAGAGGTCCAGGTGCCAAACGTCCATCCTCTGCACATCCAGGAGTCCTGTGCAGGGACAACACAGAGAGCCCTACCCTTTAGGACCCCATGCCATTCACAGCCAAGCTTCTGGAGGCTCCAGCCCCTGAGCAGAGCTTTCCTCTGCCCAGAATACAGCTCTGGCAGGAGCTGTGAGAGAGAAGGAGACAGCCCCAGTGCTGGCAGGTGCCACCAACACCATCTTAATCCTCTGTGCTCTTGCTGCAGGGTGACAGTGGTGGCCCTCTCATGTGCCAGGACAACAATGCTGACCACTGGTGGGTTGTTGGAGTAACCAGTTGGGGAAAAGGCTGTGCCAGAGCAAAGCAGCCTGGAGTCTACACCTCCACTCAGCACTTCTATGACTGGATTCTGGTCCACACAGGCACAAAGACACTTGGAAGGGGTTCTCCAACATCACAAACCTGGAGTCATTTTTTGACGCCTCTCCTACCAACTCTGAGACCATTGCCAACACGTCCCCTTCCCACTCTTAAGCCATGGCCGCCAACACGACCCTTCCCCCCTCTTAAGCCATGGCCAACACGACCCCTTCCCACTCTTAAGCCATGGCCAACAGTACTTCCCACTCCTAAACCATGGCCAACACAACCCCCTATTCCTAAGCCATGGCCAACGCCCCTTCCCACTCATAAGCCATGGCCAACTCCACCTCCCACTTCTAAGCCATGGCCAACACCCCTTCCCACTCCTAAGCCATGGCCAACACAACCCCCTCCTCATAAGCCATTGCCGACACCAATCCCTTCTCAAAAGCCTTGGCCAACAACACCCCCCACTCCAAAGCCAACACCATTGGGTGAGGTTAGCTCCTGCCCATTTCCACTCAACAAGCTGGTAGACTTCTTTACTAACGTGAAGAAGCTCCTTCATGAGGTCCTTGGACAAACCACAGCTTGAGTGGCAGAACAGGCAGGATCCATAGCACACTGCAGTGCATCGCAACCATTTCCTGCTGGGGCAATGCCTGCTGATCCAAAGGCAGCCTCAGGGGCAAAACCCTGCTCTGTCCTGCCCACACTCCTCTCCGGTGTGCAGGCAAACACTGGACTTGACTAAGCTATTGAAATAAAACACCTGTGCTCAAAGTGAACCAGATTTTCAATGCAATTCCAACTCGTGGGTAAGACCTATTAGACACAAAGGGACTGAGTGGCTCCAAAGAACTGCAAAGTGCGTGGTCAGAGAGGAGAGTGCTCTGAGCCACCATGGGCTGGAGGAACCTGCTACATGAAGCCTAGGAAGAAGATAGGAAAATATTTTTGTTAAGGCTCAAGTATTTGTTGAAAACTCCTAGGAGACATTACTGCCTCACTGCAGTAAAGATAAATTCCACCCATAATAACCATTTGTGAGAAGTGTTGCTTTTTTATGACACTGACACTTCTCCCTTATGTCATTTCCCACTCTCCTCAGTGGCAAAATAGGCATTGTGCTTTGCAATACAGATGCCAATGCTAACACTTGTATTTTTTCATTTATCTGGTCCAATTTTCACACCTCACCGGTGTCTGAAATGTGCTTTATTCTCTTAAAATCCTAATAGAAGAGGAAAAATTAGGGGAAGGAATTGAAAATCCCACACACAGAGCACACCTTGAGCTGTGGTGTTCATAAGCACAAGTAAACCCAAATTTCCATGTCTCGTTGTCATTCAGAATTGAGTGAAGCTGAAGGCTCTCATCCCTATCCAAGCTGGTTGCAGCCAGCCCTTATATCTACTCTAAATCTATGGTTTCCATTTAAAACCTGGCCCTATACCTACAGAACCTACTAAGTTTAAACCGAGTAAACCAATACTGTCACGCCCTTAATCAATAGCCTGCTGAAAGCACTTGCATTCAGTGCAAGTCATCCTTTGCATTGTGCCTAGCACCAAAACACAAAGCCACCGGAGGAAAAGGAAAAAAAAATTATTATGCCATGTATTATTCATGCCATGGCACAGATTCCACCTGTCTTCCATCTCAATAAGTACCACAATCCAAAACACTTTCCTGCCCCCATGCATTTAAAGCCCATGCCCGCTCCCCACACTGCTGCATCTCCCAATAAACACTCCCAGCCTCTCCATCCAAATCACTGACAGCTCACGTAAGTGTAATTCAATCTATGTTAATTTTCCAATTAATCCAGTATTATTCTCTCCAACATTCTAACTCCAGCTGACATGAAAAGCAGGCAGTCATTTGTACACTGAGATGGCAGAACAGCTGAATGCTTAATTACCTAAGTAGCTCAATTCACTGATGATTATTAAATCCTAGAAAGGCTTCCAAAGTGAAAAGTTTCAGAAGTTAACTGTAGGGAGTTTCCCACCACACAAGCCAAATGTGAGACCATGAGCTTTATTTTAGAATTAGTGGAAAAACTTGCTAATGTTTTATTTTCTTCAAGGGAAATAGATGGTTTCAATAGACTCTAAAAATGCTTTGTTAAAAGAATCTTATTAGTCATGCCTTACTCTGCTAACACTTAGCCCAAATTGAGTCTGTTCCCTGCAGCTCTTCCAGCTACCTACTTGGCCGCTCTGCCAAACTGCCCTGTCTTGAGCCTGATATTTTCAAATCTGTTTCGTCCAATACTCCAGTCATGAGTGCAATGAAACCTTCCAAGACTGGATTGTCAGCTGTGCTCGGAAATTCATTGCAGCTTTTCATCCTCAACCCTGCAAAGCAACACTCTTGCTCAATGAGAATATTTACCAGGACCTCATACATATAAAAAATGTGGAACTAAGCTGATTTTTGTACTTGGAATCAAAACTTCACCAGTGCTTCAAAAATCCCCACATAAGCTCCACTTTATGGCAACCTTGAGAACATTTGATGAGTACATTGTTGACATTTTAGAAAGCAGGGTAGAGTTTTGTGATTGCCAGTTACGAGGTTACATTGCACCCCTAGTTTTCCAGGGTATAACCTATAATTAAAAGAGAAATAAAAACAGTATCCCAAAAAAAACTTTCAACCACGGGGAAACCCTGTGGTGATGTATTTTGAGGTGGTCTGTAGGTTCTTTGAGTCATTGGAGTCAACTGCCAGCCTAACAGTACATTTGAGGCATATAACAGCACTCCCCTGAAATCCGTGGTCTGTCAGGTCTGATTTTTTACAACATCCACATAATTGCGTAAATTGCTTTCACTTCCTATTTGCTATATACAACTCAAAACAATCAAAGAACAGAGTTTGGGCATCATTAGCCCATATAACTAATTCCTTAGCACAAACATGTAATTATATTAATTAACATATTAACGCTGATTACTTAGGTCTTATATACACAAGGGTAATGAATTCTGTAATGGTTTGGGTTGGAAGGAACTTTCAAGATCATCTTCTTCCAATCCCTGACATGGGCAGGGGCACATTCACTAGATTAGGTTGTTCAGAGCCCCATCCAACCTAGCCTTGAATACTTCCAGGGATGAGGCATCTATTCTCATCCACATCCAGTCTCTTGAAAAGCTGTTTCCAGTGCCTCATCACTCACACAGTAAAGTTTTTTTTCCTAATATCTTATCTAAAACTATTCTATTTTAGTTTGTAGTCATTCCCCCTTTTCCTCTCACTACATTCCCTTGTAAATGATCTCTCTATCCTTATTGTAGGCTCCCCTCAGGTACTGAGAGGCCTCTGAAATTTGCAAAAATAGTTTGTATAGAAGTCAGTTTTATAAGACTTCAGTTAAGCAAGCAATGCACTGTAAACTTCACTGGTTTTCATTTTACCTGTTCAAGACAGGACATCAGGCTTTAATTTCCCTGAATTTGAGTCCCAAACACAAAACCAACTTGTGGCAATGAATTCTGTAAGAACCTGATCCAGTTCCTTCTAGTAAAAAGTCGCTACTAAACTTGCACCTTTATTAACAGAACAACAATATGCAGCAAAACAATAGTCTCCCCACAGGACAGAGGAACCTTTACAAAGCCAACAACATGTTCTACCTGCAAGCCATGTTCTGCCTGAAAGAATCACTGCAAGACGCCCTTGGCCAGAGATGGAGGGAAGAGGTCACCTGTTATCCTTCCAGACTATGAGCCACTGCTGCCTGAACTCACAGTTTTGCTCTCTGTGGCATGGAATGTCCTCTACAGGACTTCTCTGAGAAGCTGAATTCAACATAATGTCTGCAAAAATTATTCCCATCAAGTACAGTTAAAACAGTCATGATAATTCCTTTGTTTCCATTGCACCTTGGAAAAACCTACAGACTAGGAGAGGAAAAAATCACAACTCTCAAAAAAGCATCCTTTCTACAAAGATGAGTGGAGAACTCCAACAGCATCCCTCACTGGAACTGCACTCTTACCAGTGTGTTGAAGTCAGAACTTATGGAATACTTCTGTGGTTCTTTGCAAAACAAGTATTTTTCCACAAACACTTTTCTTTAATGCAATAGCAGTTTAAATACGTGATCCAAACATTTATGCTGTGATTAATACCCACAAAGAGTTGATTCCGTACATTTCAGTGACTCCATAGTCACAAACTTGCCAAACTCCTTTAGCTCAGACATGATTTTAACCCAAACTAATACTAACCTTGCATATGACATCAAGGGGAAGTTACAGCTGTTGTCAGAGCTTCAAGCACCTCTATTCTAAAGCATTTAATATTCAATGCATAAGAGTGGAATTCTTCATGCTACCCATGAGGGTAGAACTGTTCCACTCTTACTTAAAACACTCTGACCTCTCTCTTTGAAGTTGATTTATAATTTCAGGAAACTCAAGGTTCTGTAATGATATTAAGTCACCACACAGCCTCAGGCTGGTGACAAGGTACAAGGTACTCTCTTTATTTTCTGCCCTCCTCTCTTTTACTTTTTATATCTGTATGTCCCCCAAGTACACATTAATTTTCATTGACAACTTATATTTTGTGAATATAAAAGAAAGAGCATTTCTATGCTAGCCCCCAAAAGAGACAGACACCCTCCAATGAGAGAGCCCAAGAACATATCTGGAGAACAGAAGCATTTTTGCATTATACTTGAAGACTTCAATATAGTTCCAATAATGGATCTCTTCTACCAAACCTTCATGGAGCAGCAGCATGGACGAGCATAATTCATGAGTGGCACAACTTATCAGCATACACCTTCTGTGTCGCCACATACAGGGGAATTAAATTGTCACTGGCTGCTTGACAAGTGCACAAACACCTTCTCACATCTCAAATCTGAAAGCAGAGATGTTTGAAAACTAAAACATTTTAAATTCTTACTTGAAAAGAGTTGTTAGAGATGTGGCTCAGACAAGAGCAGCTCAAGAGGTCTGCCCTTGGCCACACAAGAATTTGCACCAGGTCAGGAAAAGGGTGGGTTTTGTGGCTCACCTGATGAAGCAGGCTCCACTGTTTGCTTAGGACACCCCAGCAAGTGGGAGGTACAGAGCAGCTGTGGGATGGAGGACCTGGAAAGGGAAGTATTCGAGTTAGACATAGGAGATGTTGAAGGGAGAATGGGGAAGTGGATGTTGAAGATGTCAAAAGGAGCCAGATTTTGGCAACATAACTCCTGTCTATGGTCACGTCTTCTTCCAGTGAGCCAAGCAAGGGTCAGCAACAGGAGCTGTGATCCAGCAGTGTCATTAGAGTCACCTGGGTGTTTATCCAAAAGCTGTCAGATTTATCCTTACACAAGGGAACACTTGGTGCAACACAGGATTACACTGTTGATCCTTCAGGAAAGCATGGATGATACAACACCAGGTCATACAGGGAGGAGCTGCTGCCACAAAGGCTTTTAACAGTAACAGCAACAAGAAAATGTTTACTACAAATTATCCTTCAAGGCAGATACAGTTAACAGACACCTGCAACCTCCATCAGGCAGCTGTCCAGGAATGTCACACATTCCATTCTCAGGCAGAACACACCTCTATGTCAAAG